TCTCTCTATGGAAAGCGCAAGGGATCACAATATTCTGTAAGTATACACATTTTTAAGTTTCATCAGAACTATTTTACTTTTCAAGTGAATATTTTACAATAACTTCTAAAAAAGTTAAGACAAGTTTTGTATAGTAGATCCTATATTATCCCTAAAAGAAATATTTGAATTTCCTACATTAAGGGCCAGTTTGTTGAAGAAATAATAATTATGAAATAATATTGGCTTTGAAGTGGCGCTGGATATCCAGTCTGCTGATATTCGTAGCGATACATATTGTTTTAAAACTGGTATGTAAATATTAATAATGTCATGTTTTTTAATGATAATCATTGATCAACAAATTATTCTTAATTAGAAAAAAAGAACTTACTATATACTGAGCATGTGCGAGTAGATCTCACATAGGCATAGCTTAAGTTTTGCTCTGGCAACACGAATTAACATGCGCTGTTATTCAATAACATATCCGGGATCGCTGAGCGCCAGCAGCTGAGAGGAAAACAACAGCAGTGGCAGCGCTGTGGGCGCCATACTGTCTACAACTATGGCTAGCCGCTTTGAAAAAATGTTAGCGCTATGCAAATTTCATTCATGCTAATCTACAGTAGGTAGATATGGTAAATATGTACGAATGTACATATGTATGTATGTATGGGTATAAGAAAGAACAGCTAACATTATTACCTTAAATTTAAGGTTTCTGCATTTTTAAAATTTGCTGATGAATTCATAGAGACGCTTGCTGTTTTCAAATATTGTATAAGATTGTATAAATATACACAAAAAATGTGCGCAGAAATCTAATAAGAAATGCAATTACATTGGCATCTTGCACAGACATACATACATACATATGTACGTGCAAAAAAATAACAGTTCGAACAAAACTAAAACCTACATATGTATCTTAGTTATTGCACAAACACACACTCTCGTGGGCGTTGCTCTCTTTTAAGATGAGAGTGCCAGCAAAGAAATAAAAGGCAAAACAAAGCAAACAGTTAATCGACATGGTCGTAGAAAGAATACCAATAAGGTTTAATATATGCACGATATTTCGATATGTATATACATACATATTTCTTGATTAAATAGATTAAAAGATATTGACCGTAAACAATAATTGTGTATGTATACATGAGGACTTGATGTTTTATAAAAATAAACATAGCCCTTAATTTAATATTTGGAAAAATTTGGTACAAGTAATATAAAAGGCAATTTTCATGAAATCCACTTAACTATGATCCACGCAACGCCCATGTGGAGGTGCCAGTTGCATAAGTTGATTTACAGCTATAATTTTTGATTCTTTGCTTTCACTCTTGCATTCTTAATGAGAGCACCGCTGTTAGTTGAGGGTCAACGATTAGTTTTGCGTAGCATGATAAGCGCGTCGCGTCGTTTATCGTTGTCATTGCCAAAAATGATTACAAAAGGCTTAAGTTAAACATTAAACATAATTTCAAAAAAATGCATTGTGTGTACTCCTACTAATTAGGATAGGTTAATAAATAAAAAAAATTAAATTAAATTGTGTAAATGTTGCTCTAAAATTGATTAAAGAATAGGACGAATAAATAAAACAAAAATTAAATAAAAATATAGAGACACTACTCGTAGTTTTCATAATCCAAGGACTTGCTATTTATGTATAATTGTTTATAAAAAAAACCAAAAAAATAAAAATACAGACGAACTGACAACTCCTCCTTTTTTGAAGTCGGTTGAAAAGCAGCAGTTATCCAGCAGCAGTATAGTAAGAATTCGAGTGAAGGATACTCCTCCTCTATGGACAAATCATGCATCAGGACCACACAATGTATATGGATAGAAGAGCAGGTCCTTGAGTTTCTAGCCTCAGAGCGACAATTTGGTATTAAAGATTTTCATAAAAAGCTCCGATCCCTCCACATTGCTTAAATATTCTAAGTGACAAAAAAAAAGAAAGTCCAACGCTTCTTACCAACAGTTGTAGTTGAACACAAAATTCATAAAACAGCAGTAGATGCCAATGTGTTTTACAAGTAATAAAAATCAAATGCAGTTGTAATAATTCTTTTTATTTGTGTTTCATTTGCAGAGTTTTTAATTAAATCAATGTTTTTGGTGGATAAACGCATTAAGTATTTGCATATTGGTCGCTACGAATATTGCCTTCAATTACCTTAGCAGCAAGCAAACACAGATAATTGTTTGTATCAAGTGTAAAAAAGGAGAAAAAGGACTCTTCTGGTATGGCTGTTAGCCACATTTGGTTATCTTGTGAGATATCTCCCCCTACATACTCGTCCTGCTCGTATACTTGTACATGCAAATACAAATGCATCCATAAATAGGCAGATTTAGCAATTTGGCAAATTTTATTGTCTTCGTCTTCATTGATGCCCCAATCGAAGACATTGTACATAAGTACATCTGATTGGTGTGGCGTCGCTTCCATTCATGCCTGGGAGGTGTTTGCTCAATGGCTTTGTCAGTGCCACAAATGGCCCGACAGGAGGGCCGCTAACGCAACGCAAATCCAAGCTAATTAGCATAAAATTAAAAACGCGCCCATTGCAGTTGTACTTGTATGGTTGTGTAGTAGTCGGAAGAGCCGGTCGAGTGCGATGATAGTACGACCATTTCCAACTCAGCTTAACTCAACTCAACTCAACTCAGCTCTTGGGGCTCTGACTGCAGCTGCCGCTTCTGAAGCTGCTGCCGCGAACTTCCACAGGCACTCGTACTTGTAGGTAGGCGGAACAGTTGGCGGCCAATTTAAAAGGCATGATGCTTCTGGAACGTTGAAGCTTACCGGTGAACAGGCCCAAAGCCAATACATCCACATCCACATCCATAACCATAACCATGGCCAGACTCAAAGCTATGGCCAAAGCCAGAGCCATAGCCAGAGCCAAAGTTAAAGCTGAGGCATAGGCTAAGGCATAGGCTCAGGCTCTGGCTCAGGCTCAGGCTTAGACTCTGGCTGTGGCAGACAAGCTGCCAGGCACTGGCGTTTGATATTATTATATATGTATGTAGCATAATATTTGTTTGCGGCAACGCGGCAACAAGCAGTACTCCGATCTGTAGAAATCTTTGCCAAAGCACAGGAAACACTCAGTTGCAGGGAATGCAAAAAAAGACCACAAGAGTCGAAATTAGTGAGAGCTCCTGCCTCCCTTTCCGAGGTTCTATAATACTTAAATAAATGACAACTAGTGGTTCATTCATATATTGTTGTTCACTATTTTTTATCAAATATTTCCATTTAATATACAAGTAAGTCCTAAATAGCGTACAAAACCACTTATCATATAAAAGAGCAATCTATAGATGGTTTAAAGGACATTCATTTACTTTACCAAGAAAAACCACCTTCAAAATCAATAGACCTAAAACGTCATTTTTATACCCTGTTTATTCTTGATCAGGATGGCAAGACGAGTCGATATAGCTTTGTCCGTCTGTATGAACGCAAGGATCTCACAAAGTATAAGAGCTAGAATAACCAAACTTGGTATCCACATTGTCCTAAGTACAAGTTTGTTAATTTTTTCCGATGCACCACCCCCCTCCCCACTCTCCCGCAATTCGTGTATTTCCATAACTCCCTTAATTCTGTAGAGTTCTATTTTGTTATAATACAATAAAAATAAAAAGTCTAAAAGGTCTAAAAAGTTGTAAGATTGTGTTGTATTTTATTTAAATTAGAAATGGTTTAAAGGACATTCATTTACTTTACCAAGAAAAACCACCTTCAAAATCAATAGAACCTAAAACTTAATTCATCTAAAAAGTCTAAAAGGTCTAAAAAGTTGTAAGATTGTGTTGTATTTTATTTAAATTCTTTTATGATGTGACATCTACATATAGCATGAAATAATTTCTGCAATTCTTTTATTACATTTAAACATTCAGTCAGAATTTGAAGACAGTTCTTTCGAAAAAAAGAGAGCTCCTTTAACTAAGTCCAGTAGGACGCTTTCAGGTATTATTAACTGGATGAGATTTTAAAAAAAATATTTAAAATTTTCAATGCATATTAGACGAGAATCCTTCTAAAGTATACTTGGTTAAAAATGTAGTGTACGAGAATTGAGCTTACAGCGATTCCTATGAACTTTTTCGACCTGAAAAAAGTTCGGAATATTAGGAATCGCCTGGCATCAGATTCTTAAATAACTGAAACGACATCATTCATTGGATCTTCGATTCCGGATTTGAAAAGGCGACAGCAGTACTCAACCCCAGGGGGCAATCCTTCGATTTAGATTCTAAACCGACATGAGCTTGTGGAGAACGGACAATTTCCGTTTCGGTTCGACTTTAAGGATATCATCTTAGCCGTTACCATTCTATTTGATGCACAATTCAAGAAGCCGTGGATTTTAAAGGGATCTCAAAAAGACTTTATACTACTACTACTAATGACTGTTAGTTGTAATTTTCTACGATCCTTGATGTTCTGCCAATCTGTGTATTAAAGTGGGAAAGCTTAGCAATGATCAGTGAGTTTTCACTGTGAAGAAGCAGTTGATTTTGTGGTTGTTGTTGCTGCTGCTGCTGCTGCTGCTGCTGATGTTGTTGTTGTTGCTGTTGCTGTTGTTGGCGTAGTCGAACGCGCAACATAAAACAATTACGCCTACACTTGCTCTCGCTGCTGTTGGGTACCTGGGTAAGAGGGATCATTGTCGCTCCCTCACTGGCTCCCTGACTGGGCTGCCTCACTACCTGACTACCTGACTGGATAACTGGCTATGTTGCTGTTGTTGTTGTTGCTATGATGGCGCACTTGGCTCTGCAAGAGTGTCGTGGTGATCTGTCGATGGCGTGCACGACCTTCCCCGACGACTATGACGATGATGGGGACGATGACGATGACGGTGACGGCGACGGCGACGACTCTGCCGCCATTCGATCCGTTGGCTCATTTATGCCGCACCCGATGCTGCAGTTGATGCAGAAGTAGAAGTAGAAGTTGCAGTTGCAGTTACAGATGGTAGGCAGCACTATATTGCCTCATTTTCAGTTGGCAAAACGGATTCCAGTCGGAAGCTGTAAAGGCGACTCTGCGCCTTCTGAGGCAGGGGCTGCCGCTTCTTCTGCTTCTGCTTCTGCTATGAAACACAATATTCATTAACTTGGAGAGCATTAATGTTGAAGTTTCAACTGCTTTATACACAGCTCCTGCTGTTGTCCATGATGTTACTAATGTTGTTGTTGCCGGTGGTGGTGGTGGTGGTGTTGGTGCGGCTTGTGGCGGCAACTATACGAGTAACTGGAACTTTGGTTCCCATTTTGCCGTACGCTCTTTTTCCTTTCTTGTTCTTCAGTTCTCCTCTGTGGGTTTGGTTGCCAGTTCATTTTTTATGGTTTTCGCATGGCTCTGTTTGGCTGTAATAATGCGGCTATTAAACTCTGCAATCACTAACTTGAACCAATCCATTGGTTACCTGAGAATTATTTATTTTAACGATGCTGCTGAATACGGACGAGCGTGTATTATTATCGCTGTATTTTTTCATATACGAGTATTTCTTTATTTTTTGTTGCTTAGTATTTTCTTTGTCATCGGGGATAAACAGCAAGGTCGAAGACTTAACGCACAGCTAACGTTTTCATTTATCGTATTTAAGTATATACAAGTATATGTACATATAACTCGTTTTCCCTGTCACCTAATTGGCATATAAGTGGGTTGACCTCCATGAGTGTCACGGCTTTCATGCCACTACCTCTGCCACTTTTGTCACAATATTCACTACTGTTAGGGCATATGGATGCGTTGTTGCTGTTGATGTTGCTGTTGCTCCCTAAGTGACATCTAATTTTGATTGATTACTGTCCCATCGCTATTGTCCATGGTCTGTCACCAGAGACACAGACACAGACACAGACACAGGCAGAGACATGGGTACGGACAGAAGCGGCTCTAAGCCGATTAGATACCACACTTCCACTTCTACGACAATGTCGCGGTCTCAATTGGTCTATGTTTAATGGGCCAAGAGATCAAGTTAAATGTCACTTAGAATCTTTGACACCTGTAATGAATGGAGAAGAGTGTAGGTGGGAAACGACGCAGCTATAGGTCTCTCTATGGAAAGCGCAAGGGATCACAATATTCTGTAAGTATACACATTTTTAAGTTTCATCAGAACTATTTTACTTTTCAAGTGAATATTTTACAATAACTTCTAAAAAGTTAAGACAAGTTTTGTATAGTAGATCCTATATTATCCCTAAAAGAAATATTTGAATTTCCTACATTAAGGGCCAGTTTGTTGAAGAAATAATAATTATGAAATAATATTGGCTTTGAAGTGGCGCTGGATATCCAGTCTGCTGATATTCGTAGCGATACATATTGTTTTAAAACTGGTATGTAAATATTAATAATGTCATGTTTTTTAATGATAATCATTGATCAACAAATTATTCTTAATTAGAAAAAAAGAACTTACTATATACTGAGCATGTGCGAGTAGATCTCACATAGGCATAGCTTAAGTTTTGCTCTGGCAACACGAATTAACATGCGCTGTTATTCAATAACATATCCGGGATCGCTGAGCGCCAGCAGCTGAGAGGAAAACAACAGCAGTGGCAGCGCTGTGGGCGCCATACTGTCTACAACTATGGCTAGCCGCTTTGAAAAAATGTTAGCGCTATGCAAATTTCATTCATGCTAATCTACAGTAGGTAGATATGGTAAATATGTACGAATGTACATATGTATGTATGTATGGGTATAAGAAAGAACAGCTAACATTATTACCTTAAATTTAAGGTTTCTGCATTTTTAAAATTTGCTGATGAATTCATAGAGACGCTTGCTGTTTTCAAATATTGTATAAGATTGTATAAATATACACAAAAAATGTGCGCAGAAATCTAATAAGAAATGCAATTACATTGGCATCTTGCACAGACATACATACATACATATGTACGTGCAAAAAAATAACAGTTCGAACAAAACTAAAACCTACATATGTATCTTAGTTATTGCACAAACACACACTCTCGTGGGCGTTGCTCTCTTTTAAGATGAGAGTGCCAGCAAAGAAATAAAAGGCAAAACAAAGCAAACAGTTAATCGACATGGTCGTAGAAAGAATACCAATAAGGTTTAATATATGCACGATATTTCGATATGTATATACATACATATTTCTTGATTAAATAGATTAAAAGATATTGACCGTAAACAATAATTGTGTATGTATACATGAGGACTTGATGTTTTATAAAAATAAACATAGCCCTTAATTTAATATTTGGAAAAATTTGGTACAAGTAATATAAAAGGCAATTTTCATGAAATCCACTTAACTATGATCCACGCAACGCCCATGTGGAGGTGCCAGTTGCATAAGTTGATTTACAGCTATAATTTTTGATTCTTTGCTTTCACTCTTGCATTCTTAATGAGAGCACCGCTGTTAGTTGAGGGTCAACGATTAGTTTTGCGTAGCATGATAAGCGCGTCGCGTCGTTTATCGTTGTCATTGCCAAAAATGATTACAAAAGGCTTAAGTTAAACATTAAACATAATTTCAAAAAAATGCATTGTGTGTACTTAGTTGTGTGTGCTCTCTCTTTCTTCAACATCGTCAAAGTTGTGCGGACAAAGTGTGGCCCTAACAAAAAAAGGGAAATAAATTATAGACATGTGTGCACACATACATATGTATATACATACATACATACATATGCATATGCTCTAGCTTTCGGTATCTAGCAAAGTAATTTGTTCCTGTATAGTTCATATAGAAACATTTCTGGATAAATAAATACATAAGTTGTGTCCTCTCAGTCAGGAACCTTTATTCTCTAGCAGACTCTCCGGCTGAAAGCGTCATTAAAAAGCTTACATACGTCTACCAATACTAACTGAAATGCGCTGACATTGACTTATCAATAAACTGAATCTTTCATGCTAAGGGCTTTCTATAAATTAAGCTGTAAATTATATAAATTACATTAATAAGCAACAAGAATTATTGTATTGTGTGTGAATCTGATGGAGATTTGAAGTGTGTGCATATGTGTGTGTGTATGCACACACACACACACACACGCACACGTTACATTTTGAATGACACAGCTCAACAGCTAAAGTCAGAGGCAGAGTAAGAGTCAGAAAGAATCAGAGTTATATATGTATGTACACATGTAGGTATGTTGTATGTACATACGTGTATATGTGTGTAGCCACAATCATGGCCAGCACACGCAGTCGTCAGGAGATGAATTTGACATGCGTCTCTGATGATGATTTATTTTCATTTTTGTATTTTTAATTCACTCTTCGCCATTGTCGCTCTCACATGGACAATAACAACAACAATAATAACAACAACAACAACAACAGCAGCAACGGGCGGCACGGACTGCCGACAACAGCAATAACAACAACAACAACAACAACAACAACAAAAACAACATTAAAACATTAACAACAACAACAGCAAGAGCAACGACAGCGACACGACAAGCCAGGCATAATCTTCGATGGCAAAAAGTTAATGATAAAGATGATGACCATCAGAATTGGAATAATGTATGTATGTATGTATGTTTGTATGCAGTATGTAGTATAGTATGTGGCTGCGGGATCTTTGGTCGCCTGACTCGTTGGATGGTTGGATGGATGGATGGATGGTTGGTCGCTTGGTTGACTGGACGGACGGACAAAGCAAATCAGCTGAACTAAACTGAACAACTGAAGTTGAGCTGTCGCTGTCGCTGTCGCAGAGTCTTGTCTCGTCTCCAACTGACTCAAGAGCTGAAGCTGTAGAGTCTGAGGCCATTTTATCGAATGGCCCGAAACGGCATTGTTCAGTCTAGTTTCAGTTTTGGCTTTGGTTTCGCCTTCATCGTTGGGTGCTGTCGCCTTTAGCCTGTGGCCTCTTTTGGGTATGGGTTTGGTCAGCTCTGCTTCCTCCTTTTAGTTTTTTCTTCCATTTTTTTTTTTTATATTTTTCTTACCATTAACCTGCTAAATTACCAATAAGGCAAAGTGGATTTCACTTCAGTCTTTCGCCTCGTGATATGCTTTATGCTAAGGCTGATCCTGGCAATGATTGTAGCGAAGTAACAAAATTGTTGCCGTGCATACCCACATACACACACACATATATACATACATATACAAGTAGTTTGTAAGTATGCGTGTATGGCCTGAGCTGCCCTTTTGTGCCAGCAATCGTCTGGGCAAGAGGAAAATCTTGAACAGATAATGACCACTGTTCTCGCACTCAACTACAAGATGAGCGGCTGATATGACGATGACGAATGCGACGATTTTGAAGACGCAGTCACTCAGTCAATCCAGTCAGTCAGTCAGTCAGTTAGTCAGTCCAGTCCAGTCCCGTTCTGTCCAGTCAGTGAGTTGCCTGCTTGAAGGAGGAGTAGGAGGAGGCGTTGATGTTGACCGGTCGTCGTTGATGGTTACGAGTATGTTGCCGATTGCTGTTGTTATTATTATTATTTTCGTTGCTGTTGCTGTTGTTGTTGCTTTTGTGTCCAACAGTGCCACATCCACAGCCTCATCTCTTGACCGAATGCAGCGTCTTGCTGAGCCTCCTGTTATTGGAATAATGAGTTTTTAGTGATGCGCATCGATTTGTCAATTGATGATTTGTTGTTTTCAGTTTCATTTTTCGATTTATTTTCCCCGTCCCTCTCCTGTCTTGCCTTTTTGGCCTTTTGCATGCGGCTGTTCGTGCATGTGTGTGTAAAGTATTTTTGAGTTGGCATTGTTTAGTGCACATACATATATAGTAAATATATATCATTAATTCAACTTTTGTCATATTGAGAGCTCTTCAAAATTGATTGATTGCATAGTTTGCATCATGGGGAGTGAGAAATTGTCGCGATTATTAATGCATTGCTTACATATGTGACAACATAATTGATGAATCAAAAACTCAGCACCCAACCCAAAAAAATACAAAATTCAAATAATGACAACAACAAAAAAATCCTATAAGCTACACATATAGTACATATGTATGTATGAACGAAAAACGAACACGTTGAAAAAAAAAAATTCAAAAGCAAGTTTAAGTTTTTATTTCAAAGGAATGTGTCAGTTTAAATCACAGAG